CCAAGAACACTCAGTGACATCATAGTTCAAGCACACCTATGAATGCAGATTCCTCATCCAAGCCTGGCAATCTTTTAATTGTATTATAATTGTATTTTAATCGCCTCATCCAAGCCTGGCAATCTTTTTGCACACTATTTACCTCATATTAAGTATTTAATTTATTATTATTATTTTTTAAAGTTCTCCTTAAAAAAAGGACCCAAAGCAGCTTACCAGGAAACCTGACACCTTATAAACCAATTCCCACAGGTCAATGCCCCGTGTAATTATTCAGGTTATGTATAATAGTGCTTAGTTGTGGTAGAGTATGGGGAAGAGAGGTCTCAAGTCTCAAAAGATGGGTTTTGAAAAATAATTTTCATTATTTTATTGAAAATGCCACAAGACACGTTGCCCCCTCTCAGGCATGGCCCTGTCTTTTATTATTTCATTTCATTCACCAATCCAGAAACCAAATGAATATTTTCTTTGAGAAATGACACCCCCCGCACCCCAGTTTTATTTACACTGGTCAGCTGAAAACCTATAGGCATCTTGAGTTTTTCCAGTTCTAGTTATGCATAACCCAAAGGACCAAAGGATGGTCTTTCAACAAGGGAATCACCAGTGTAATTTCCCAATCAAGTTACTGGTTGCAAAAACATACACTCAACAGCAAAACAGTGAAAAGTGTCATTGACTGAACTACCTCAGAGACAGGCAGGAAAAGAACTGAGTTATGGAGGCTTATGGCAAAAAGGGAGCTCATCAAGAGAAAGTGATCCGTTGAATGAAAGGAAGGATATTAAAGAGATATGTTTGGATTTTAGCAATGAGTCAATAAATTGGTGAACTGGGTAAGGGCAATTTCAGTTGTCTGCAGAGAGAGGAGGCCAGATTGGAAAAGCATGACTGAGCAAGAGACACAGGATAAAATAAAACCAAGACAGTGAGTATAAACAGGAGTTCGGCATGAGAAGGGAGATCAGGGAAGCAGAATCAGCAGAGGGATCTCTTTGTTTAAAAGAACTGGATAAACAATGGGGGTGTTTCTATGTAGTGAAAAGCAAGCCAGAGACACAGGTTGATTATGTGGTAGCTGGAAGGGAGGTGGCAACCAGGACTCGGGAAGGGATAGGCTCAAAGGACAGGAGAATGTAGAAAAGGGCCAGCTGTGTCCTTAGGCTGAGTAAGGTATTGGCCTCAGCTGGTGGGCTGCTGGGAGCAGCCTATTTATCCGCTCCCCCTACCTCGCACTTGTGTGCAGGCCCCTTGCTTGCTCCTCTTCACAAAGCTCCAGCTGTCCAGGGCTTTGTCTTCTTACACTGGTTCATCATTACTTATGATGGCTTACAATTACATTTTATGGATCGTCACCATCACTACAGCATTGCCATAGACCTTATGTTCTGCCTCTCTTGGACTCCCTCCTTTTTTCTGCCACTAGGCACCTTTTTTTCCCCCTTGGGTGGTGGGCTGGGGATGCCACCAATTTCTCTATGGAGATGATTGGCCTCTCTGTTGGAGCAGCAGGGTGGCTATGCTGCCACATTCAGGAGCGTGTGCAGTATATGTTCTGGAGGAAGGTACCTGCTTTTTATCTCAGGTGGTGGGAGAGCTTGAATTAAACATGCACTAGACCAAAAGAACCATCAATTCAGACTGAGGGGAAAGGGGGACTGAGCGTAGGAAGAAGTGGAGCTGAAAAAGGAAAGAGAGAGAGGTCAAAAAATTAAGAGTCGTCTGAACGTCAGCTTTAAAGGAGGGCCAAAGAGCTAGGACAAAACAATAGTGACCCAGCTTTCGGAAGACATCGAGTGTGAAGAAAAGGAGCCTGGATTTCATAGAATTAGGTGGATCAGAGGGTGTAATAGTACTGTACTGTTTGACTAGGTGGAAAGCACCAGAGAAAGAAGAGGGGATTAATTTAATGGACGAAATCCACAAACCTTTTTCATCTTCTCCAATTTAGAGGCTTTCCAAGTACGTTACAACAGGAACATGAGAGATATTTCAAATTCTCTTCCCCCCCCCCAATCTGAATGTCTCTCATATTTTCAAATTACTTGCCACTGTTTGTGGAGCAGCACTAAGAAATCTGCCATTCTTACATTTTGATTTCCAGATATTACAGGGGTGACTGTACATGTGCAGTTTGCAGTTTTAGTTATTTTGTTTTCTTCCTTTTGGCTATGACTCCTGGTGAGACTGAAGTGCAAAAACCAACCTCTCTGCTGTCCTTGGGCTTTCCAAATTATGTGCTGTTTGATCACTCATGCACAACAGTAAAGCAAAGTGGGGAAGAGGGACTAGGCAGAAATGAAAAGCAAACTGTACCTTTTCCAGCTCCAGAATTAATTATAGAGGCTGTTTGTTTTGGTGGTAATGCAGAAAAATAAGCAAAGTGGGATAGTGGGCTGCAGGAAACCAAACAGCAGCAAGCAAAACAGAAGCAGGAGCCACACAATACTTAGCAATCGGTCTCCCGGCCCATCAGTGCACTGGAGCAAGGGTGGAAGAAGTGTCTTCACAGATGTATTTTCCCTATAAGATCATGGATTCCTAACATTTCAGTCACACAGACTGAGTTGCATTAGACTGATTTTCATCTCAGTTGCTGAAATAAATATATACAAACACCCAGGTGTCCAATGTCCTCTGCATCACTCAGAGGGAACCACTTAGAAGGAAACACTCACACGCACAGGTAGTTTACGGAGGTCGGTCCACATATTCCCGCGAGGCTTTTTTTTACACCTGCAATAATGACAGACGCCTACAAGGCACATACGAAACTAAGCCTTGGGGGGGGGGAGAGGATTTCAAGCAGGGACTCTCTGGGTAAGGGCAATTTCGCTTGAACCTTATACCCGGAGTATCTCGCACCGGTTCTGCCTCTAGAATCCTGAAATGGTCCACCCTGGAGAAAGAAAGAGGAGGGAAATCATCGTCGTCGTCATCATTTTAGAACTGCAGAGCTGGAAAGCACCCTACAGATCACCGAGGCCAGTGCCTGTCAAGGAGGCACAGCGGGGGAATCGAACTCCCGACCTCTAGGAGCGGCCCGATCCCTAAGCCCCTGCGCCCTCCGGCAGAGGAGGGCAAGGGGAGGCCAACCGCACTTCCGAAACATCTGACCGCCCCCCCTGCCCGCTCCTGCGTAGCTCGGCGCTAATCTTTTTTCGCCCGAGGCTCTTGATATCGCGGCGGCGGCGGCGGCGGCGGCTGCCCTCAGTGCGCGAGCCGAGCAGAAAGTTCGCCTCGCTCCCGGCGGCCGGTTCCCTCCCGGCGCCACCGCGTCGCCCTCAGTTGGCGCTTCCCTTCCT